TGCTCCAAGTTATTGGTTCTTCCGACCAATATCAACTTGGAATCTCTCAATGAACTTGATCTCACTGATTGCTCTTTGCTCAAAACGTTTCCTGAGATATCAACAAACATTAAAGTTCTCAAGCTCAGTGGAACTGCTATAGAAGAAGTGCCTCCCTCCGTCAAGTCATGGCCTCGTCTTGATGATTTGCATATGTCATACTGTGAAAAGCTTAGGAAATCCCCACACGCTCTTGACAGCATCACAGTGTTGGACTTGAATGATACAGAAATAAAAGAAGTTGCGACATGGGTCAAGAGAAGCTCTTGTGTACGCCGAGTTAAATTCAAGGAATGTAGAAATCAGCCATTACGTCCACACTTTCCGAGTTTCTTAGCGTTCTTCTATGCAGGAGTTTGTGAGTCCATGAAGATAGTAAATTACTCCTTTTGCCAATCAGAGATTCACATCAGCTATACTAATTGCTCTGGCCTGGATCATTATGCGAGAGACTCCAGAATCAGCGGATCTACTTGTAGACATGCGTTCTTACCTAGTGGAGCAATGCCTGTCTGCTTCACTTACCGAGCGATTGGTGATTCTGTGAAAGTGAAGTTGCATGAGAGGTCTCTTCCCACACCTATGAGGTTTATGGCTTGCATCGTGTTGGCTAAAAAGAGTAGCGATGTTGCTGGTGTCGAGGAACGGGTGCATGTAACTTGTACCATCATTGATAAACAGAATGGCCTCGCTGCTATTTACACAGTGAAACAAAGTTTTCTCGTTTTAACGGAGAATATGTTCACAGTCGAAGTTCGAGAAAAGGTGAGTTGCTCCAAAGAGTTTCTCTTTGAGTTCAAAGTCGAGGAAGACAAATGGGAGATAAGGGAATGTGGAGTATTTGAACATGTGGAGGTCATTCATGTTCATGAACAAGTATCATCTTAAGAAACAGAATTGTGAGACCAACGCTGAAACTGAAGTCTATAGGAGTAAAAAAAACAAAGTAAGTCTGTAGATTTGAACAGTGTTGATAGATTTGTGATCAGTGTTGATAGAGTTTTCATTGTGGCACATAAGACTTGTGATCAGTGTTGATAGATTTGAACACGGAATTTGGATGCTCAGTATTATATATATATATATCTTTAAGCATTGCTCTCTCTTTTTGTCTCTTGATGCATGATTTATATACTTCTTAGTTCCTCAGCTTTTTGTATTACAAGTAATTGTTTCTCTTCTTCTCACTTTTATTTACCCAACCACATAGGTCACGAGGAAATCATCTTATTCACATTTTGCATTGTGCCTTCATCATTAGTCAACTTTGAAGATTGTTAAAAATTCATGGTGTAAGAAATCCACATAATTTATTGCATTATTAGATAACCATGTTAAATTAACGTATCTCCATACATTATTACATTATCAGTACTGGTTCTTGATAATTATACACAATTACACATAATTGGACTCATCAAATAACTCTAAACTAGGACATATATAGAAGAAGTGGTTTATTTAGTAGCTAACCAGATATTTTTATCAAAATGAACCAATTAAGAAAAATGTATTTGCACCAAAAAAAAAAATCATGAAATCATGTAAAATAGCGTGTGATAAGTTATCATGTAAACCAACATTTATTAGAAGAATCCCCTCTTAATTCAATTTCTCGAATAAAATATGTCTAAAAGATTCGCAGCAATCCAACGGATCTAATCAGATCAGATCCTTCGTATTTTGAAAAAAAACCTTTTAAAGTAATCTTCCAACGGTCAAAATTTCAAGTCGTCACTTTTAAATCCTCAGATCTGTCTTTCCAGAAATTTCACTAGCCGTTACGATTCTATCTCCCTCTCTTTCAAAACCTCGATTCCCAGATCTTAAGGGCTTTTCTTGATCTTGCAGTTTCTTGGTCAATTGTTTCCTTTAACGAGCAACAAAACATCTCAGATTTGTTACCAATTTTAAGAATCCGAGCCATTTCATTAAGCCATGGCTTCTCCTGCCAACAAGAAAACGTCCTCATCTCCTCCAATCCCGAACAGACCAAACCCTAAACCCAGAAACTCGGAGGCTGGTGATCCAATGCGCCGGAGCTTCGGCGGCAATCCATTTCCGACCAATTCCAGAGCCAATAACCCCTCAGGTTAGGGTTTCTCTTCGATTCCTCTCTCTGTTCAAAGTTTCGATTACGCTTGATCTCGAAATAGATTAGGGCTTAGACTTGGGCTAGTCTTGCTTCTTGTAGATTTAGTGAACATTCATCGATATGATTCTTGATTACTGAGTATTGTGATGGTGTTTGTGCTGCTTAGATTTGACTCGGAGAAACTCTTTTGGTGGAAGAGAAGACAAAGAGAACGAAACCAAACCTATTCAAACCTATCCAAAGACTTCAAAGCATTTCATGTCACCAACAATCTCAGCCGTCTCTAAGATCAATCCATCTCCAAGGAAGAAAGTGTTGGCAGACAAAAACGAATTGCCTCGCTCTGAAGTTGTCAAAGGTCTAATCTTGGAGGAAGAAACCACCAAAACCCATCGCGTTGTGTCCAAGTCATGCGTCTCCTTCTCAGATGTTGTACACGAGATCGTTGACATCGACGTTGAAGTAAAGAAGAAGCTTGAAGGATCTTCTCATGACGACGACATGACTGTCACTGATTTCGATCATGAGAGTGAAGTTCTTGACGAGGAGAAGAAGAAAGGGATTGTGTATTCTGATCCAAGATTCATGATTAGTCCTCGCTCTTCTGTTCCATACACGTCTCCAGAGTTTGCAGCTTCGTCTGGTGAAGCCGATGCATTGGCTCCTTATGATCCGAACAAGAATTTTCTGTCTCCGAGGCCTCAGTTTCTTCATTACAGGCCTAATCCGAGAATTGAGAAGCGTTTCGATGAGTGTAAGCAGCTTGAGGAGCTTTTCATCTCTGAAGGGTCTTCTTCTTCTGACACTGAGTTGTCTGCTGAGGAATCTGCAAATTCTGAGGAACAAGAGGAACTTGCCTCTCATGAGAGTGAAGCTGAGGCAGTAGTGGAAGAAGAAGAGACAGTGGAGCAATTGGAAGCAGAGAGTGATGAAGAAATGGTTTGTGAGAGCGTTGAAGAAACAAGTCAAGCTCCAAAACAGTCTGGTTCCAGGAAATTGAAGTTTCTTGGTTTGTTTTTGGCTCTGGCGTTGGGGTATATGTTGGTTTCAGCTGCACCAATCGATCTTCTGAAAGAGTCGCCATTCTACGAGTTCCATATCCCAAGAGAAGTAACAGAGTTTGCAAAAGCTAACAACTTGGAGAAGTTGAGTGAAAAGCTCTGGACTTTGACAGAATCGTCACTTGTGATCGTGGATAAGCTGGTCTCACGTCTAGGAGGAGGAACAGAGGAATATGTTCCATTGAAATTTCATAACTTGACATATAATCAGGAAGATTACAGTGTTTTCCAGCCAATCAGTGAAGTGCCATTACAAGAGAAGAGCAGAGGTGGTGAATACAATCTTGAGGATGGCTATGACAATGAATTTGAGGAGGAGAGTGGAGTAGAGAAAATCTCTGAAGATGGCGAAGCAGAAAGTTATGAGTTTGATGAAGAGACTGAGATGGAGTCAGGCACAGATACAGAGTTGCATGAAGGTGAAGGAGACTTGGAAGCTTTTTTGGAAGATGTCTTAGAGTTGAACATTGAAGAACACAAAGAGTCTGGGGTCAATCCTGAAGAAAAGCTTGAAACTGGATCAACCAAAAAGGACCAAGAGGAGGAGTTGGAAGAAGCTGAATCTGAAGCTATCAACATAAACCAGCAAGATGTTGAATCCGCTGCCATCAATGTGCACCAGCAGAAAGATAGTGATGTAGCTGGTGCTGAAGTTGGATCAGAAGAAGGTTTTGAGGAAACTGTAGTAGAAGCTATTGATGATCTTCATCTTGAAATGCAGCAGAGTGAGGTCAATAATGGTGCTGCAAGTGGATCAGAAGAAGGTTTTGAGGAAACTGCAGCAGAAACTAGTGATGATCTTCATCCTAAATTGCAGCAGAGTGAAGTAGCTGATGCTGAAAGCGTACCAGAAGAAGGTTTAGGGGAAGTTCTTTATCCTAAAACTGATGCTGAGAGTGAATTAGAAGAAGGTTTTGGGGATATTGCATCAGAAGCTAATGATGATGTTCATCCTAAAGTAAGGTCTTTTGTTAAGGAGATGATAGTATTGGCCTCTACTGTGGTGGTTCTACTCGCAGCGGTTGCTTTCTTATTCTCCAAGAAGACAAAACCTGTGTCTGCATCTGCTCCTAAACAAGCCCCTGAGAGCAAGAAGCTAAACTTGAGTCATGTGCCAGTAGAGAATCTGATGAAAGAAGAGCTTTCTTCACTGAATTTCCGAGAAGAAGAAGAAGTTGATGACAGAGTAAGCAAGAACTCATTCCACAGCAACAAGAAGAAGAAAGATTCTGAAGAACATCAAAGTGGTGAAGGAGGCGAGAAGAGTCATGGCAGCAGGAACTTGAGGAGAGAATCAATGGCTTCCTCAGCATCAGAATACTCCGTTGGCTCTTTCTCATACGGAAGTTTCACAACTTACGAGAAAATACCCATCAAAACTGTAAGTAAAATTTATCAATCATTTGATCTCCAATCTCAAGTTTTTGTAGAATATTGCAATGTATTAACTAACACCAACACATTTATATTTGCAGGGTGATAGAGAGGAAGAGATGATTACACCAGTGAGACGTTCAAGCAGGCTTAGGAACCATAAACTATGAGAAAGAGAGAGACTTTATCTCATTCGAATCATTGCAACACTCTGCAATCGTTTAGTTCCCCAATGTCTCACTCAATGAGGATTAGCTTTTGACTTCTATAATCTCTCTTGATTTGTACCAAACCTTGATGACTCACTCAATCGAAAGTTTTTATCTTTTGTGTCAATCTTTGGAAGAAACAAAGAACAAAAGCATCAGACTTTTATTTTGTGTTTACATATGAAAAAAAAAAACAGAGCCAAAAGAAACAGAGTAGTCGCTTCATTCTCTCCAGTTTCCTCCGTCAGATCGGCCACTGTAACCTCCGCCGTCACCGTAACCGCCACCACCGTAACCACCTTCACGACGTCCACCTCCATAACCACCACCGTATCCTCCTCCGCCGCCGCCACGGCTGTATCCACCTTGATCACGTCTACCTCCGTAGCCACCACTTCCATAGCCACCACTTCCATAGCCACCGCCTCCATAATTACCACCTCCGTAACCGCCTCCTCCTCGGTTATATCCACCGCCGTTACCGCCACGACTACCGCGAGCTTGAGCCTCGTTGACGGTTATATTACGACCATCGAGTTCTTGACCATTCATCCTCTCAATCGCAGCTCTCATCGATTCCTCATCTTTGAAAGTCACGAATCCAAACCCTTTTGACCTTCCCGTCTCACGATCCATGATGATCTAATCCAAAAAACCATAAAGTTCGAAACTTCAGAATCGTATTTCCAAAGTTTAAAACAAATCGGACGATCTGATGATGAAACGTACCGATTGAGTTAACAAATTTAGTAACAGAGTAGTAACAGAGAGAGATAAAGTTAACACAAAAACAGAGTCACATAGATCCCGGGTCGGATCCGGGTCGTCTTTAACGGACCTTGGAGTCGATAACATCTCCAAACTGGCTGAAAGTCCTTTCGAGAGATTGATCATCGGTGGCCCAAGCTAAACCTCCGACGAAGCATCGGTACTCGCTCTCTCCAGAATCCATCTTCAAAAATTGTAACTTCAAATGAAAACGAACAAAGAAAAAAGCTTTTAAGAAGAGATTTGATAATTCGGTAATCACGAGGAAGATGACGTGTCCGAAGCCTAGAGACGTCGAGGCGCGAAAGTTCTGTTGACTCGGTGCATAAACGATATGTGTTTGGTTACACGGATACAGATTTCTGGGCTGTGTTTAGATCCGTGACCAAACGCGATATTTTGAGCCTTTTTATCTCACTGTCCACGTCATTAAATCAGAATAAATATTGGCTGATCCAACGGTTGAGATCTGATGGTTTGTATGTCGTGTATTTATTTTGGCTTGGAACTGCGTAGGACCCAGTGATACACGTGTTTCGATCTTGTACTGGTGAAAGACAGCATTGCAGACTTACAGTAACAACAGAAATTGAATGTTCTTTACACATTGGATTTTTCGTTGAGATTTGTCTGTTTTGACGACGGATAAGTGACAAAAAGAAGAATATACGAGGTTAGAGAGGAAGCTCAAAGTCAATTCTTTTATTAATTTTTCATATTATTATCTATGTGAATAAAGGATTTTTGAGATGTTAATTTTTGGACTTAAAAGCTAAAACTAACGAATTCTTTTTTCATAAACGTATGTTTTGAGAGTACAATAGGTTGAGTGGTGTATTGCACTTTGGCAGAACCGATCTGAAGCAGTGGCCCCCGTAAATTAAGATCATAAGATACAGTTTAAGTTGACCACCATATAGTGTTTGACTACAAATCTTCTTGAAAGTTCCTTTGTTGGATCCTTTGATTGTGATGTGAGAACTTTTTTTCTCAAGTGGAAAATGAAAAAAATCAGAGAGCTCCAGACTTTATTTTTTTTGGCTCAGGTTTTACTTTTTAATAAGCTTTTTGGTTTTTAGTAATATATACTATTAACTGTGTTTATTGCATAATAACATGTGACCACCAATTTCAGGATGTGGTGGTTGGAACATGTCTTTTTCCGAGCTACATCCAGTATCAATTATATCATTCGAGTATTCTCAACAATAAAGAAAAATATGCAAAAACTTTGGCATCACTTGTATAAATGATAATTAGATTCAGAATAATATAAACTAACATTTTTTTTCCGAAACATAAGTGATAAGACTAAGACTAAGACTGAACAATTTATATTTTGTTCGAAGAAGAAATAAAAACATATTATAAGATACAAACACGAGCCAAACATATTATAAGATAAAATAAAAACATATATAATAATATATACATTTTTTAATGAACTTCTGATTTTTAAATACACTTTAAAATTCAATGGTATTTGAAATATTTTAAATGAGTGATTTTAGGTGATTTCAAGTTATTTTAAAGTTATTAAATGGAATATCCATATTAAAAACATAAAAATCCAAATCTCATGGTTTTAGGTGGAATTTCACTAAAATCATACTAATAACTTCTCTAAAATCATCATAAATAATCTAAAGATGAAATCACCCAATATCACTTTAAGTCTCAAATTTAATACATCCCTTTAGTTGACCCATAATCTAGCCACCTTATAATTTTACTGTTTTTAACTGTACTCCATTTTTTAATCATTTTGTTCATATTTATTTTAACCATCTAGTTTGAACGTAGTTATTACAGTATATATTACCTCATTATCCCAAGAATGGTGAATTCAGGACGAGGATATATTACTTCCTAAAACATGCAAAAACCCATTAATGTGAGATAATTAGTTTTTTTTTAAATGGAAATAAAGATAGAGAAAAAGAAACTTTTGTTCCCAACCTTTTATAGGAATAGTAATTGCGGCAACAGCTTAGCTGGCTTTGGGCGGGATTACCGGGAAGTCAAACCAAACAATAAAACGACGACGTCACTTGCTGCACCATTTAGGTCTTAAAATATTTAATGTTAATTTTCAGAATAAACAATAAACAATTTTACTTAAATAATCTTTTTTGTATAATTTTTCAAGTTTCTTTCGAAGACGAAAGAGAGTGTCACAGTCTACAGTTGTTTTCTCAACAATCTCGATCTTTCTCTCTCTCTCTAAGATTTTTTTCACGCAAATCGCTTTTGTTCTGTTCGATTTTAAGGATTAGTGAATTTTCTCTGAGCTTTTTAGTAATTAGGATTTCAGAGAAAAAGAGAGAGAAGAAAAAAAAAGAGAGAGAGAGAGAGAGGTGCTTTAATGTCTGTGAAGAAGGTAGGAGCTGTATTTGGATCCAGATACAGAGGAAAACAAGTTATATATCTATCTGTCTCTGTCGTCTCCAATTGCTTTCTAGGGTTTAATTAGGTCATTGCTTGATTCCTCAGAAATCGTATAATTCTAGGGCTAGAATTTGGGTTTTTGTTTAGTGATGATGGAAGACGAGTGTTGTTGTTGTTGATAAAAGCAATGGTGGATCAGAGAAGCGCTTTGTTCTTCTGTCTGGTACTGTTCGACTGTGTTTTGTCTCAATCACGGACACGATTCGACGAGACAATCACTCTGCTTCGTCTCCGGTCTACTCTCGGTTTAAGAGGAACCGATTGGCCAATCAAAGGCGATCCCTGCGCCGTGTGGAGAGGGATACAATGTGACGGCAACGGAAGCATCGTCGGGATCAACATTTCCGGGTTTAGGAGGACCAGAATCGGTAAGCAAAACCCACAATTCGCTGTTGATCCGCTTCTCAATCTCACCCGTCTTGTCTATCTCAACGCCTCTGGATTCTCATTACCCGGTTCTGTTCCTGACTGGTTCGGTCTTCGCTTGTCGACATTGCAAGTCTTAGATCTTAGTTCCTGTTCCGTGAGTGGTGTTGTTCCTTTAACTCTCGGTAATCTCACTTCTTTGAAGAGCTTGAATCTCTCTCGGAACAGTCTCACCGGTTTGGTTCCAACCAGTTTAGGAGACTTGTCTAATCTCCACGAGATTGATCTCTCTAAGAACACGCTCACTGGGACACTTCCTCAATCTTTCAGCTCTTTCAAGAACCTGAGAGTTCTTGATGTTTCTTCGAACTACCTCACCGGACCGATCCCTCCCGGTTTAGGATCGCTACCGGAGCTTCTCCACCTGAACTTCTCAAGCAACAGTTTCTCCTCTTCGATCCCTTCGCAGCTCGGCGATCTCGTCAATCTTGTTGACCTTGACCTCAGCATCAATTCACTCTCTGGTTCAGTTCCTCAAGAGCTTAACAAGCTAAAGAATCTGGAGAATCTTGTGATTAGTGATAACCTCTTGAGTGGATCTTTACCGGTTGATCTGTGCAGTCCCTCGAGCCGGCTACAAACTCTGGTTCTGAGCGAGAACGGTTTCTCCGGTAACCTACCTGACACGTGCTGGTCGATGCCTAGCTTGCGTGTTCTCGGCATTGCCAAGAACAACTTAACAGGAATGCTCCCAAATTCAGGCTCTGCGACGATGATGATGGTCGATATCTCCTCGAACACGTTCTACGGGGAGCTCACAGAGATTCTCGCAAGGTTCGGGGAGATAAACCTCTCCGGTAACTACTTCCAAGGCAAGGTTCCAGATTACGTGCACGGAGCAGCAAACATTTCCGTTACAAGAAACTGCCTTCAGAACGAGAAGTCACAGAAGTCTTCAGAGGATTGCTCATCGTTCTACACAACTAGAGGACTAGTCTTTGAAGGTTTCGGACGCACGAACTCGACTCAACCGGTATCCGAGAAGGCGTCGTCGTGGTTAAGCCACAGGACGGTGATTATACTAGCAGCAGTCGGTGGAGGGATCGGTTTCATTCTGCTCTTCGTTCTCTTGCCGATTCTTGTGGCTGTATGTATACGGAGGAGAAGGAGAGTGTCCCGGAGAGGAAACGTTGACAGGCCGAAACCCGCCACGGAGGCTTCACAGCCGCCTAAAGGAGCACAGACGTTTGATCTGTCACGTCTCGGGAACGCGTTTTCGTATGAGGATCTTCTCCAGGCGACAGAGGAGTTCAACGAAGCCAATCTGATAAAACGAGGCCACTCGGGGTTGTTGTTCCGTGGCTTCTTGGAGAACGGCGTGCCCGTTGTGATCAAGAAGATGGAGACGAAGGAAGGTAAAAGCGAAGGGTATATATCGGAGCTGGAGTTGTTTAGTAAAGCTGGACACCAGAGGCTTGTTCCGTTTCTTGGACATTGTTTGGAGAGTGAGAGCCGGAAGCTTTTGGTGTACAAGTTTATGAGGAACGGAGATTTGGCTAGCGCTTTGTTCAGGAAAGCTGAGAACGAAGGCGATGGTTTGAAGTCTTTGGATTGGATTACGAGGTTGAAGATTGCTCTTGGTGCAGCTGAGGGATTGGCTTATCTGCATCACGAGTGTTCTCCATCTCTTGTTCACAGGTAACTCAACTTCTCTTTATAAACTTCTTGAAAGCATTCACAAGACCATTGGATTGTTAGTTACTTGTTGCTCTATTGTCTAGTGAGAACAAAAGCTTAAGTGCTCATGTGTGTATGTGTGGTCAATGTTGTTATATAGGGATGTGCAAGCAAGTAGCATACTTCTTGATGATAAGTTCGAAGTACGTCTCGGAAGCCTAAGCGACGCATATGCACAAGGAGATGCTTATCAAAGCAGGATTTCTCGTTTACTTCGGTTACCACAGTAAGTTCTTATGACATTTATACAATCCTCTTGTGACTTGTTTGTTTCGAATATTACTAACGAGTCTCTTCCCTCTCTTGTAGATCGACTGAAGCATCCTCTTCAGGTACGTGTTCTTGCTAAACAGAACATACTAACATTTGTATAGTTTTAGAATCTGATTTTGTTTTGTCTTGTCTTTTAGGTGCAGCGAATGCGACATGTGCCTATGATGTCTACTGCTTCGGCAAAGTGTTACTGGAGCTAGTGACGGGGAAGCTCGGGATCAGCTCGCCAGACAACGCAGAAGCGAAAGCGTACATGGAGGAAGCTCTGCGATACATCAGCACAAACGAGAAGGAGCTGGTGACAAAGATCTTAGACCCTTCACTAATGGTGGACGAGGACCTTCTTGAGGAAGTATGGGCGATGGCTATCATCGCAAAGTCGTGCCTAAACCCGAAACCAACGAGACGGCCGTTGATGAGACACATCGTGAACGCGCTCGAGAACCCTTTGAAAGTGGTGAGAGAGGATAACAACTCTGGCTCGGGGTCGTCGAGGCTGAGGACGAACTCGTCGAGAGGGTCTTGGAACGCTGCTATATTCGGGAGCTGGAGGCAGAGCGCGTCGGATGTAACCGCGGGACAAGTTGGAGGAGGAGGAGCAATCGGTGGTGGTGGTGGTAACAGCGGTTTGAGAAACTCGGGGTCACAAGGGAGTAGTGGAAGGAATAATAATAACAATGGGAATTCGTCGTCGAGGAGACGGCAGTCTAGTGAGATTGTGCCGGAGCCGGCTGTTTATGGAGAAGATGTATGAGAGCTCCTCCGGTGAAGAGTTTGAGATTTTTATGATTCGTTTTTTCATCGATTCTTTTGTGTCGATAATAATAGAGGCAAAGAGAGAGTCCTCAGCGTAGAGCTTATGTTAGAAGGGAGTATTGTTTTTCTTTTATTTTGTCTTTTAATTTTGGGTTAGGATTGGTTTGGAGTTAGCATTTGTAGTTCTCTTTTTTGGTTCAACTGGATTTTGTAAATTGTAATTCTTGGAGGTTGGATTTTCCTTGGTTTCTTTCTTAACCGGGGGAAATAATTGAAGATTGGGTTCGTTTTATTCAGTTCCACTTTCTTTTTCTATTTTAGATGATCGTTAACTATTTAATTTGCACATGCGGAAGGTCAAAAATATAAAATGAGAAGAAAAAGTGAAATTCAGGTTCTACCGAGAATTGAGGAGACGGCAGTCTAGTGAGAAACAGCGGTTTGAGAATGAACCTAGATGGACCCATACTAATGTTTATCCTCATAATAATGAACAGCGGTTCTCCACATTATTATGAGGAGCAATCGGTGGTGGTGGTGGTAACAGCGGTTTGAGAAACTCGGGGTCACAAGGGAGTAGTGGAAGGAATAATAATAACAATGGGAATTCGTCGTCGAGGAGACGGCAGTCTAGTGAGATTGTGCCGGAGCCGGCTGTTTATGGAGAAGATGTATGAGAGCTCCTCCGGTGAAGAGTTTGAGATTTTTATGATTCGTTTTTTCATCGATTCTTTTGTGTCGATAATAATAGAGGCAAAGAGAGAGTCCTCAGCGTAGAGCTTATGTTAGAAGGGAGTATTGTTTTTCTTTTATTTTGTCTTTTAATTTTGGGTTAGGATTGGTTTGGAGTTAGCATTTGTAGTTCTCTTTTTTGGTTCAACTGGATTTTGTAAATTGTAATTCTTGGAGGTTGGATTTTCCTTGGTTTCTTTCTTAACCGGGGGAAATAATTGAAGATTGGGTTCGTTTTATTCAGTTCCACTTTTTTTTTCTATTTTAGATGATCGTTAACTATTTAATTTGCACATGGGGAAGGTCAAAAATATAAAATGAGAAGAAAAAGTGAAATTCAGGTTCTACCGAGAATTGAGGAGACGGCAGTCTAGTGAGAAACAGCGGTTTGAGAATGAACCTAGATGGACCCATACTAATGTTTATCCTCATAATAATGAACAGCGGTTCTCCACATTATTATGAGGAGCAATCGGTGGTGGTGGTGGTAACAGCGGTTTGAGAAACTCGGGGTCACAAGGGAGTAGTGGAAGGAATAATAATAACAATGGGAATTCGTCGTCGAGGAGACGGCAGTCTAGTGAGATTGTGCCGGAGCCGGCTGTTTATGGAGAAGATGTATGAGAGCTCCTCCGGTGAAGAGTTTGAGATTTTTATGATTCGTTTTTTCATCGATTCTTTTGTGTCGATAATAATAGAGGCAAAGAGAGAGTCCTCAGCGTAGAGCTTATGTTAGAAGGGAGTATTGTTTTTCTTTTATTTTGTCTTTTAATTTTGGGTTAGGATTGGTTTGGAGTTAGCATTTGTAGTTCTCTTTTTTGGTTCAACTGGATTTTGTAAATTGTAATTCTTGGAGGTTGGATTTTCCTTGGTTTCTTTCTTAACCGGGGGAAATAATTGAAGATTGGGTTCGTTTTATTCAGTTCCACTTTCTTTTTCTATTTTAGATGATCGTTAACTATTTAATTTGCACATGGGGAAGGTCAAAAATATAAAATGAGAAGAAAAAGTGAAATTCAGGTTCTACCGAGAATTGAGGAGACGGCAGTCTAGTGAGAAACAGCGGTTTGAGAATGAACCTAGATGGACCCATACTAATGTTTATCCTCATAATAATGAACAGCGGTTCTCCACATTATTATGAGGAGCAATCGGTGGTGGTGGTGGTAACAGCGGTTTGAGAAACTCGGGGTCACAAGGGAGTAGTGGAAGGAATAATAATAACAATGGGAATTCGTCGTCGAGGAGACGGCAGTCTAGTGAGATTGTGCCGGAGCCGGCTGTTTATGGAGAAGATGTATGAGAGCTCCTCCGGTGAAGAGTTTGAGATTTTTATGATTCGTTTTTTCATCGATTCTTTTGTGTCGATAATAATAGAGGCAAAGAGAGAGTCCTCAGCGTAGAGCTTATGTTAGAAGGGAGTATTGTTTTTCTTTTATTTTGTCTTTTAATTTTGGGTTAGGATTGGTTTGGAGTTAGCATTTGTAGTTCTCTTTTTTGGTTCAACTGGATTTTGTAAATTGTAATTCTTGGAGGTTGGATTTTCCTTGGTTTCTTTCTTAACCGGGGGAAATAATTGAAGATTGGGTTCGTTTTATTCAGTTCCACTTTCTTTTTCTATTTTAGATGATCGTTAACTATTTAATTTGCACATGGGGAAGGTCAAAAATATAAAATGAGAAGAAAAAGTGAAATTCAGGTTCTACCGAGAATTGAGGAGACGGCAGTCTAGTGAGAAACAGCGGTTTGAGAATGAACCTAGATGGACCCATACTAATGTTTATCCTCATAATAATGAACAGCGGTTCTCCACATTATTATGAGGAGCAATCGGTGGTGGTGGTGGTAACAGCGGTTTGAGAAACTCGGGGTCACAAGGGAGTAGTGGAAGGAATAATAATAACAATGGGAATTCGTCGTCGAGGAGACGGCAGTCTAGTGAGATTGTGCCGGAGCCGGCTGTTTATGGAGAAGATGTATGAGAGCTCCTCCGGTGAAGAGTTTGAGATTTTTATGATTCGTTTTTTCATCGATTCTTTTGTGTCGATAATAATAGAGGCAAAGAGAGAGTCCTCAGCGTAGAGCTTATGTTAGAAGGGAGTATTGTTTTTCTTTTATTTTGTCTTTTAATTTTGGGTTAGGATTGGTTTGGAGTTAGCATTTGTAGTTCTCTTTTTTGGTTCAACTGGATTTTGTAAATTGTAATTCTTGGAGGTTGGATTTTCCTTGGTTTCTTTCTTAACCGGGGGAAATAATTGAAGATTGGGTTCGTTTTATTCAGTTCCACTTTCTTTTTCTATTTTAGATGATCGTTAACTATTTAATTTGCACATGGGGAAGGTCAAAAATATAAAATGAGAAGAAAAAGTGAAATTCAGGTTCTACCGAGAATTGAGGAGACGGCAGTCTAGTGAGAAACAGCGGTTTGAGAATGAACCTAGATGGACCCATACTAATGTTTATCCTCATAATAATGAACAGCGGTTCTCCACATTATTATGAGGAGCAATCGGTGGTGGTGGTGGTAACAGCGGTTTGAGAAACTCGGGGTCACAAGGGAGTAGTGGAAGGAATAATAATAACAATGGGAATTCGTCGTCGAGGAGACGGCAGTCTAGTGAGATTGTGCCGGAGCCGGCTGTTTATGGAGAAGATGTATGAGAGCTCCTCCGGTGAAGAGTTTGAGATTTTTATGATTCGTTTTTTCATCGATTCTTTTGTGTCGATAATAATAGAGGCAAAGAGAGAGTCCTCAGCGTAGAGCTTATGTTAGAAGGGAGTATTGTTTTTCTTTTATTTTGTCTTTTAATTTTGGGTTAGGATTGGTTTGGAGTTAGCATTTGTAGTTCTCTTTTTTGGTTCAACTGGATTTTGTAAATTGTAATTCTTGGAGGTTGGATTTTCCTTGGTTTCTTTCTTAACCGGGGGAAATAATTGAAGATTGGGTTCGTTTTATTCAGTTCCACTTTCTTTTTCTATTTTAGATGATCGTTAACTATTTAATTTGCACATGGGGAAGGTCAAAAATATAAAATGAGAAGAAAAAGTGAAATTCAGGTTCTACCGAGAATTGAGGAGACGGCAGTCTAGTGAGAAACAGCGGTTTGAGAATGAACCTAGATGGACCCATACTAATGTTTATCCTCATAATAATGAACAGCGGTTCTCCACATTATTATGAGGAGCAATCGGTGGTGGTGGTGGTAACAGCGGTTTGAGAAACTCGGGGTCACAAGGGAGTAGTGGAAGGAATAATAATAACAATGGGAATTCGTCGTCGAGGAGACGGCAGTCTAGTGAGATTGTGCCGGAGCCGGCTGTTTATGGAGAAGATGTATGAGAGCTCCTCCGGTGAAGAGTTTGAGATTTTTATGATTCGTTTTTTCATCGATTCTTTTGTGTCGATAATAATAGAGGCAAAGAGAGAGTCCTCAGCGTAGAGCTTATGTTAGAAGGGAGTATTGTTTTTCTTTTATTTTGTCTTTTAATTTTGGGTTAGGATTGGTTTGGAGTTAGCATTTGTAGTTCTCTTTTTTGGTTCAACTGGATTTTGTAAATTGTAATTCTTGGAGGTTGGATTTTCCTTGGTTTCTTTCTTAACCGGGGGAAATAATTGAAGATTGGGTTCGTTTTATTCAGTTCCACTTTCTTTTTCTATTTTAGATGATCGTTAACTATTTAATTTGCACATGGGGAAGGTCAAAAATATAAAATGAGAAGAAAAAGTGAAATTCAGGTTCTACCGAGAATTGAGGAGACGGCAGTCTAGTGAGAAACAGCGGTTTGAGAATGAACCTAGATGGACCCATACTAATGTTTATCCTCATAATAATGAACAGCGGTTCTCCACATTATTATGAGGAGCAATCGGTGGTGGTGGTGGTAACAGCGGTTTGAGAAACTCGGGGTCACAAGGGAGTAGTGGAAGGAATAATAATAACAATGGGAATTCGTCGTCGAGGAGACGGCAGTCTAGTGAGATTGTGCCGGAGCCGGCTGTTTATGGAGAAGATGTATGAGAGCTCCTCCGGTGAAGAGTTTGAGATTTTTATGATTCGTTTTTTCATCGATTCTTTTGTGTCGATAATAATAGAGGCAAAGAGAGAGTCCTCAGCGTAGAGCTTATGTTAGAAGGGAGTATTGTTTTTCTTTTATTTTGTCTTTTAATTTTGGGTTAGGATTGGTTTGGAGTTAGCATTTGTAGTTCTCTTTTTTGGTTCAACTGGATTTTGTAAATTGTAATTCTTGGAGGTTGGATTTTCCTTGGTTTCTTTCTTAACCGGGGGAAATAATTGAAGATTGGGTTCGTTTTATTCAGTTCCACTTTCTTTTTCTATTTTAGATGATCGTTAACTATTTAATTTGCACATGGGGAAGGTCAAAAATATAAAATGAGAAGAAAAAGTGAAATTCAGGTTCTACCGAGAATTGAGGAGACGGCAGTCTAGTGAGAAACAGCGGTTTGAGAATGAACCTAGATGGACCCATACTAATGTTTATCCTCATAATAATGAACAGCGGTTCTCCACATTATTATGAGGAGCAATCGGTGGTGGTGGTGGTAACAGCGGTTTGAGAAACTCGGGGTCACAAGGGAGTAGTGGAAGGAATAATAATAACAATGGGAATTCGTCGTCGAGGAGACGGCAGTCTAGTGAGATTGTGCCGGAGCCGGCTGTTTATGGAGAAGATGTATGAGAGCTCCTCCGGTGAAGAGTTTGAGATTTTTATGATTCGTTTTTTCATCGATTCTTTTGTGTCGATAATAATAGAGGCAAAGAGAGAGTCCTCAGCGTAGAGCTTATGTTAGAAGGGAGTATTGTTTTTCTTTTATTTTGTCTTTTAATTTTGGGTTAGGATTGGTTTGGAGTTAGCATTTGTAGTTCTCTTTTTTGGTTCAACTGGATTTTGTAAATTGTAATTCTTGGAGGTTGGATTTTCCTTGGTTTCTTTCTTAACCGGGAGAAATAATTGAAGATTGGGTTCGTTTTATTCAGTTCCACTTTCTTTTTCTATTTTAGATGATCGTTAACTATTTAATTTGCACATGGGGAAGGTCAAAAATATAAAATGAGAAGAAAAAGTGAAATTCAGGTTCTACCGAGAATTGAACTCGGGTTACTGGATTCAGAGTCCAATGTCCTAACCGCTAGACCATAGAACCACTTTGTTGTCTTTATTTACATAGTTTATTTGTACGTGTAAAGTCCTAAAATAAAAGGAAACGAAAAAGAGAAATTAAGGTTCTACCGAGAATTGAACTCGGGTTACTGGATTCAGAGTCCAATGTCCTAACCGCTAGACCATAGAACCACTTTTGTTCTGTTAACTGCTTTAACTATCATATAGTAAAACGTAGAGTATGTGTATGCGTATGACCATGACTAGTTTTTTAATACAAAGTTTACTTTCTATGCGTCCGCATTGGTTTGGTTGGAGACTTGGAGCCGTATGAAAAGCCTCCTGTTTTAAGTGCATCCATAACAAAGATTTTTAATTTTTTTGAAATTATATCCATCATCCATGCTAACTGAAATCAAATATTGTAAACACCTAACACTAGTTTTGTTACTTAAATTAAATCTCCCATAGAAGACATAGGGACCCAGGCAAAGAAGCAGCACGTGCGTTGTCGTTAAACCAGCACATGTGAGCTTTGGGATTCTGTAAAAGAACAGCTTCGTCTCACTCACATTTCATTTGATTAACTAAAAATACTAATTATACTTTGTTTGGAACCATTAAACAAAAAGTATATCAGTTTTTCTCAAAACTGAAAAAAATATCACTTTTAGATTTACTGGATTTAGTTCTAGACTAGTTTATTAGAGGGATATAGAAAATACCACATATTTTGTTAATTGTTAGTGTAAAATGTGGAATATTTTGTTAATATTGTCTCTTAATTAATGTTTACATCTCAAAATCTCACTACCTACCTCCACACTCCTCCTCTGCTTTCATGGCTCTCACCATCTTCTTCTCTCTCCTCCTCCTTATCTTCACTGCTTCGCCAGCAAATGCACAGTCGTTTATCGGCGTTAACTACGGCCTCCTCGCCGACAACCTCCCACCGCCGTCCGATACGGCCAAACTCCTCCAATCCACCTCCATTCAGAAAGTACGACTCTACGGAGCCGACCCCACCATCATCAAATCCTTAGCCGGAACCGGCGTCGGAATCGTCATCGGAGTAGCCAACGGCGATCTTCCTTCTCTCGCCTCCGATCTCAGCGTCGCTTCTCAATGGATCAACTCCAACGTCCTCCCTTTCTATCCCGCCTCCAGAATCATCCTCATCAATGTCGGCAACGAAGTAATAATATCAATCCTCCTCCTCTCAAATTTCTCAGATTACTTTCTCGAGAAAGTTTCTAAATTTGTTTGGTTTCAGATTCTGTTGTCGAATGATCTGAATCTGGTGAACCAGCTTCTCCCGGCGATGCAAAATGTCCAAAAGGCCCTCGATTTGGTTTCACTCGGCGGGAAAATCAAGGTGTCCACGGTTCACGCGATGACGGTGCTGGGTCAGTCAGAACCGCCGTCGGCCGGTTCGTTTGCTCCCGGTTATCAAGCCGGTTTAAAGGGGATTCTACAGTTTCTTAGCGAGACCGGTTCGCCTTTTGTCATCAACCCGTACCCGTTCTTTGCGTACCTGAGCGACCAGAGACCTGAAACGTTGTCGTTTTGCCTCTTCCAGCCTAACCCTGGTCGGGTCGACTCCAACACCGGAATCAAGTACATGAACATGTTCGACGCTCAGGTAAATAATAAATTACATTTAGATCTTTTTACTTAATAAACTTATTCTTTTAATCTCACACAAAATTTGTTTCTTGCAACACACGTTATACTGATCCAAAATGGGTTTTGTGCTCTAGGTTGATGCGGTGCACTCAGCTTTGAAGTCAATGGGGTTCGAGAAAGTGGAAGTGGTGGTGGCGGAAACAGGTTGGCCAACGAGCGGTGACGTCAACGTGGTTGGTCCGAGTGTTGAGAACGCAAAGGCTTACAATGGGAACCTCATTGCTCACTTGAGGTCCATGGTTGGCACTCCGCTCAAGCCTGGCAAAGCCATCGACACTTACATTTTCGCTCTCTTTGACGAGAATCTCAAGCCTGGTCCTTCCTTTGAGCGATCTTTTGGACTTTACAAACCTGATCTTTCCATGGCATATGACATTGGCCTCACTAAAACTACTAGTGGTCAGGTAATAATTAGATACCATCACCAAATGATTTAGTGAACAATCTCTCTACCTTTAATTTCTTCTTGATTTTGTTGGAATGATTCTACTTGTATGTGATGATTGTAGACGTCACAGTCTCCATCGTTGGGGAAGGCAACAACATCCACGGGATGGTGTGTGCCAAAGGAGGATGCGACTAGAGAGCAGTTGCAAGCGAGTTTAGATTGGGTTTGTGGGCAAGGAATCGACTGTGGCCCGATAATGGAAGGAGGGGTGTGTTTTGAGCCTAACAATCTCGTCTCTCATACAGCTTATGCCATGAATCTTTATTTCCAAAAATCTCCTGAAAACCCTACGGATTGCGATTTCTCTCAAACCGCAAGAATCACTTCGGATAACCCTAGTAAGTTATTTTCCTCTTCATCTTTCATATTCTAGTTGTTATAAAATCATGTGCTGGTATTTGGTTATAATCATGTGCTGGTATGTGGTGGAAACAAATCTTAGCAAGAGACTATGACTATAATCTTCAGTATTGGTGGTGCAAGAAAGCCATAAATTCTGGTCATATATAGATTGAACGAATCAAAAGCATATATATCAACAGATTATTATGCTAAAGTAAACAAAATCTAACTCGGTCATTAGGGATTAGGTTGATTTACTGCGAGTTAACATGCATTATGCATATATATATATATATATAGTCCAACATGAACATGATAATGTTACGTTTTAGTTTTCCTGTTATTTGTCTACATGAGTGCGACTTATAGGTTTGACTCATATCCAATTTCTAAAATTTAATTGATTGGATTGTAATTATGTTTTAGGACTTTTCTCTAATCGTGCACTAAAATTTATTTTCTTTATTTTGGCTTTCCTGATTTTAGGCTATAACAACTGCGTCTACCCAAGAGCAGGAGATGTTGGAGATGGAAGCGTAAGAGGAGTGATGAATAAATATGTGAGTTCAGACAAGGCAATGGATCATAATAAATCAGAATGCTCATCTTCTCTGTCATTGCCTCTCTTTACCATCTTAGTCTCTCTTATTTCAATTTCCTTGCATGTGAACTTGTAGTAGTTTCCTTACTTATTAGTTTTAGTTCCTAGCTTTTCTGCCGTTTTCTCTCTTTTATTGCCTCCAATCAAACTTCAAAACGTTTCTAAAATTCAAATGGAATTTACAAAGATTGCATAAATGAGTTCATAATGGTAAAATCTACCATTCTTTGCTAAACTATCCGTCTTTGGAATTTCACTTCCCATCAACCAAAGTTGTATCATATAAATTTTTACTTCAACTCTGTATCACAACCTAGTAAAAGCAAATATTATCCGTTGTAGTAGATATAAGGTACAATACAATGTCTACGTCTCTACGATACGAAATATTCATAAAACATGGTAATCACAACATACGAAATATATATACAATTATGAACGGTGTTTTTCTCACAAGATATTGGTCATCTCTCTAGACTTAATTAAACGAAACAAATACCACTAAACAGTTTTCGGAACAAAATATGGATCCGGACAACTGAAAAACTACTTTGCACAGACAACGCTTCTCACAACTTAGACAAATAGGTCGACACATATTCTGATTGTTAGGCAAAACATCTACCTTTTCATCGTAGTAGAGCCAGGATGAACCAGGCATCATGTATAACTCCGTCCCGAACAGACAATCAAAGTGCAAGGTGAGACAACAATACTCATCACACTTATAAAACCGCTCCTTTGGGTTTAACTTCTCCTCGCATAATTCACACCAATACGTCATGGTACTTGTCTCGTCTCCATAAGAAAGACTGATCATGTGTGCTTATCATGCTTATACATCACCTTTTGAGGTAAAGTAGCACATCCAAAACACAAAGCAAAGTCGCACTCAATGCAGTTGAATGTTTCTCTCGTGTGCGTAGAGCTAAGTATTTTGCAAACACAACATTTTCTATACTCTCCTGGTTTGGATGTTAGGAATAAAGGATGGATATGACTTTCATGGACTAGTGGCTCAGAGACTATACCGCATTGCACGTGTAACTTAAAATAACACTCCCTTTTACCGCACTCATAGAAGAAACCAGCTACGGACAACCTAATACAAGTTGAACATCTGTCCTCCCTATTCCTAACACCGTCATATCTTGCCACTAGAGTGAGCATATGAGGATGAACCGGGTGATGTATTCTGCGAGAAAGATTTGCACAAGCTTCATGGAGAATGAAATCACATTGCATACAGGAGTAGAAGTTACCGCAAAAGATTGGCATGGCACAAGCTTGACAAAGCTTGTTCTCGTCGTAATCTCTACTCGTGTCCTCATCAAGTCTCAAATGATGTTGTTGATGACTGAAATGTTGAATGATCCCATCACTTATCCTCACAAACGGCTCAACTTCTTCATCTTCACCAATGTCTTCTACCACTCCTTCAAGTTCTATGCCATCCCACACATTGCTCTGTGTAGCACATCTTGAATGAGCCGCGTAACAACAACCATCCTTGATACAAGAATAGCCACCATAATCATTGTCTATCTTTCTACGACAAACACCACACGACAATTCTTTTTCATCAAAAGAAGGTGTAAAAGAGATACGATGGAGATGACGAGACATCCTTATGACGCGTGGTAAGCTGAGGCATCTTTGATGAGCCACAAAGTCACAAGGTGGACATATGTAGAAAGGACATGTAGAGTCATCCAAGCCACATAGGTCGCAAGTTAAACAAGCCTTTCTTGGAAACAAAGCAAGTGAATGCTCATGCCACTTGGAATGATCTATAGACAACACTAATGGTTTCTCCACACACGCTATATTCATAGCGTAATCGCAAACCGAGCAATAATAAAACATCTCTTTGAGATATTCATCACAGCAGTAACATTTCCTGGTTATATTCCCTTTCATTAAACCAGACAAGTCTAAGAGAATGTTTCTGATGAAGAGTGTGTTTGATCTTCACAGGAACCTTGTTAAACTCTTCATGTTGATCACCGTTGCAATTATCGCAGTGAAAATAAGAAACATCTTCTTCTCCAGTTGACTTGAGTTTCTTCCATTGATCAGGGAAACAACCCCACTTGCCAATACGAGTCATCATCTTCCACGAGAAGTTGTCCATCAAATGAAACTTTCCCAGTTGGAAATAAACTTGTTTTTGAGGGCACAAGCGGAACAAGCTTCCCTGACTTTGAAGACATAGAGATGACGATGGAGAAGATTTGATACATGAGTGATATGAGCTCAGGCTCCGGCTCGAGACGTAATGTTTTAGTGACGAGTGGTGTGACCAGATCCGGCTCCAAATCTACAGAGTTGACGACTTGAGTAATGAGTGATATGAGCTCTGATAGTGGCTGTGGCTGAGAATCTAGATCCATGGAGTTGAAGAAAGAGATTAACTGAGATGTGAGTGACATGAGCTCTGACTCAGGCTTCAGCTCCGAATCAAAATCTATAGATCTGAGGAGAGATATGATTTGAGTAATGAACTTCAACCACGAAGCTGGAACCCAACCTTCCGTAGAGTTGTCGAGAGAGATTAGTTGAGAAATGAGTGATATGAGCTCTGACTCTGAATCCATTGGAGTTTCTGAGAGATGATCTGAGTAAGGAATGACAGGAGAGATTTTGTGTATGAATGTATTTAGCTTAATGCGATCTAAATCGGCATCCTAATTCTACTTCTGTAATATATACTAGTCGGTGGCATTAAACTAGGTTAGAGCCCGTCCATTTTCTTAATATAATACTTGACATGTGCTGTAGTTTTCTTCTTCTTGTTTAGTTAGCATTTAAAAAACTATCATTAATCAATCATTTTGGTAGCCTTTGTTCAAAAAAATAACATAGCATCAACTTCTGTTACAAGATTTGATCTCGCTCAATCCCTACCAAAAAACGTTCAGCACCAAAGGGAGTTCATGAATACTTAAAAGAACTCTCTGGCTTTTACTTAGAATGCACGGCAAGAGAAACAATAACTCATCAAATCTCTCTGGCTTTCAGCTACAGTGTTCCTTCACCTCCAAGAAAAGTCACACTTAATAATCTACAACCTTGATATTGTGTTGATACGATTGAATCCATCTTTAAGTGTGTCTTCAGGTGAATATACCAGGACGGTCACTCTCATAGACAATGAGACTCAACTTCAGGGGAAGTGTTCTCTGATCTCAGTTTTCAACCTCATGTATATTCGCTGATCTTATTGTATTTTTTAATTACTGTCAACGAGAATATGAATCTTGTAGAAGAGAGTTGTAAAGTGACAAGTTGTGGAGTATATGTCATAACTGCTGCAAATGAAGAAACAAGCCAATAATGCTTTCTGATGATAAAGTTGAACAACTAGTGAAAGATAGAAACGTAATCTATCGGTTGCTACTTGCTAGTAAGATTTCTGTTCTTAGTTCAAACATGGCCTGAGACAGACTTTAACAAAACTAAAAACACACAATCGAAACTTAAAAGGGTCTTCAAATTATTACAAACTGATCATCCCAAATTTGTCTTTAAGAAAGTAGAGATGAACAACACTTGTTAACTCGTAGATATATAAAAGTCTCCTAAAACAGTCTTAACTTAGAACAGACAAACAAACAGACATACTAAGATATGATAAAAACCTCTCTGGCACTTGAGTTTACTTGATGGACAGGCGTGGAGCACAGAAGTTCTCAAGCAGAATCGTAGGGCCAATGTCGAGATAAGCGTCGTAGAACATCCTGCTCATAGCCACTTTGAGGAAGATGAACTTCTTCTTGTACCACACTTTGACAACAGCCATCGACTTCCCCTTGAACTTCTCTACTCCGGTAAAGATCCCATCTCTGAGTCCCATGTAAGTCGCTGGCTCACCTGACGTCCCACAGTAAATAGCCTACACACACACACACACAAACGAAAGCAAATATCAGATCAAACAAAAGTCTTTGGTCTCAGACTCTCAGTTTTGTATTGAATTATAACTAAAAATGAAGCAACTCACGCCTTGTTGAAGCTCAACGTGAGGATGGAAGATATGCACTTTTGCTCCCACCGCTTGATGCTTCACCAGCTCACGAGCTTCATCCATAGTGTCAGGCTCGGCGACCTCTCCTTTCATGGTGACGAGAGGTGGCTTGTAAGAAGGCGGTGGCTTCTTGTCAGAAGATCCCAAGAGAGGCCAGTCCTCTGCCTTTGGTATGCCGTTCTTGATGGCAAACTCCAAGCACTCTCTCACGGTGAGGCTCGGTCCGCTCGAAGAAGCAGCCTTGTCGAGCAAGTACTGAGCTGAGTACTCGGTACGCACACGGTCGAGGTTCCGTGAAAGCCGTGCAGAGCTAATCAGCTCCACAGCCACAACCGCAGCAGAGAGAGACTCATCTGGACAGAAACACCAAAAAAAAGGACAAACGAAATCACAATGTGAGTTAAAGTGTGTTGTCATATTAAATAAAAGAGAGTGATAAGACTTACCGTGCTCTTCGTCAAACTCGTAGTCGAATTTTTTCTCATTGCCTGCTGAAATTTTCACTGTGAAATTGGGATCATAGGGAGGGAGTTCCATCTGCAAGGTTTAATGAAACATTGTGAATGTGAAAAGAGACAATGGGAAGAAAATTTAAGAAGCGAATCAAAAGTTGTATGTTTGTTCATAGGCAATTAACGAAAAGAAAGAGAGATTTGAGACCTTTGCTTCCTAAATTAGGTCAGACACATAGCAAAATCAAACACAGGAAGGATGAGATAATAGCAAAATCCAGACTCATAAAAACATGATCGTTAGCTAAATCGAACAAATGCGATAGCTTCATTACCCTAAAATGACCAGAACTTATGGAGGATTCGACATCAATCTATCAAAAAAAAAAGGTTAAGCCTTTATCCAAGCAAAATTTGTTCACTAATCACACTGAAAAAGGTAAGAAAAATCCGTGACAAACCAAAGGAAGCTAAGCAAATCCCAGCTTAGAAACCAAAAAAAAACCCTAAATGGTAACACTAATCGCACTTCCAGATGAAACTCACAAGCAGAATCAGAAAGCTAAACGAAAATCCAAAGTAAGAAACAAAATGAGAGTGTGAGAACCTTACCGGAGAGGAAGAGGAAACAACGGTGGTGACTGGTGAGACTGAGACTACTTCGAAAGGAAAGAGCTTTAAGCTTTGGACTTGAGATGTTTGATTTTACTCAAAGACGGAGTTTTGGGTTACAGAGAGAGGAGTATTTATACAGAAACAAATGTTGTAGACTCTTCTGTAGATCCCTAATGCCAGATGGCACAATCCGCTTTCACCTTCAGATACGGACGACAAAGGCAGCACCTTTGTTTTAAAATTATTGACTGCATTTGTTCGTACGAAGACCATCGGTGAGCTGTTTCGCTCTTTCTTTCCTCTGCTTCTGCTTTTGTCTTTGTCGTTTTCCAGAGCAATTGCAAAAACATTGCAAAGTGACCGTTGTGGTGTTGATCTTCACTATTATTACCGTATTGGGCCTCCATTCCTTCAAGCCCATTCTGATCCAAACGATGAGATGACACCGTTTTAGCTTCATGTTTCAAAATGTACCTGCAATACTTGACACGACGTCGTTTTCCTGGCTTCCTTAAACCTCTTCGTTTTGTGCTTAGTATTTCTGATGTATGATTTTTACTAATAAAACACACTTTTGTGCAACCAACGAAAGAAAGAAAGGATGAATATATAATTTGATCATCAAATGCTCATAAGAATATTTATATTAATGGTAAAAAGTAGCAAACCCCACAAAAATGTTAAAAGAAGAATTGACAATAAGAAAGGGAAAACGAAAGTTCCCTGTGAATCTGAGGGAAAACAAGTATAAATTCTCAATGTCTTTCTTTCTCTAGCCAAGAACAACACTTAAAAAAGGTTTAGCCGGAAGCAACAACGGCGTGAATGGCTTCACTGACAGATTGATCCTCGGCTCTAACCGTCAGTTTCATAACAATCGCCCTTGTGCTATCCATTCCAAACTGAGCCTTGACCAACACTTTCACGTTCCCTATGTACAAACCCGATAGTAAACACGTGTGTGACCTTGCCTTGTTCGCAACCGTCTCCGTCCCCTGAAAACCCAAAACCAGAACAAGAAATGGCATCAAACACGAACAACGCTAGTAAAAGCTTGCTTTTGATGATCGAGATCAGATCTCCGTTGTGTTTAAACTAGTGAGAAGCGTGTCTAACCTCGCATGACTGCATGCCGAGAACATCGGTTACAGCTTTCACAGCTTCGGCTAAGCTGTCTCTTTGGCCAAGACCATACTCATCTACAAGCTCGTTTTCGGGGTCCATGTTTTCCCAAGCGTTTCTGAAATTGGAGACGCCGAAGTTTGCCATGTAGTCGGCAGGGACAACCTCAAGGTCCTCGAGCTGGTATTCGTCTTCCTGACCATCGTCCTCTGCTTCACCAGTGTTTTGGTCAACCTGTTTCATAGCCATATGTCAAGAACCGATCGTGTATGTCAAAAAGCGGGTGAAAGTGAAAGCGTATGAAGCATGTACGCACCTCCTTAACAACGAAAGTCAATGTGTTTGAGAACTTTCCAACAGCGGGAACTCCTTCAGGCTTCTCAAACGCCACAAAGGCTTGACCAGGGGAATCGTAAGGGAGCGAGTTTAGTGGCTTTGAACATAATTCGCTGAACTCCTCTGCTTCTGAAGCATCGACAACGACATTGACCTACAAAACAAGGGAGGAGGAAATAATTTTGTCAAGGAGAAAGTATTTCAGTTGCTTCAAACTGAAATATCAAGTGGTACATCATCATGTTCATTACCCTCTCCAATAATTGCTCTGGTACTGTGTTTGTGCAGTTATACTGAAAGACAACGTGGTTATCGTATATATGCTTTACAACATTGACTGCGTATTCCGTTTCTGCTTCAGTTAGCTCCACAGGTGAAGAAGACTGAGAATAAGACACGGTTAACAAATCAGGATGAGTGAATAAGAGTAAATTAAGAGAAGCTGTGTGCAGAAAATTTGTATACAAACCTTGAAAAGTTTGCCAAAGGAAGCAAACTCTGGAATAGATGAAAGAAGTCTTTCGTATGCATCAAAACCAGAAACAGGTGCAGGTGGTGGAGCACCGAGACCAGTGGGCTTTTTACCCTTGGCTTTCTTCTCTGCAAGTGGTTGCGATTTGACTTCCTTAGGCACAGAGTCAACATCAAAAGCTTCTTCAGAGGGCTCCTGCGATATCAAAGATATAAGATAACTGACGTCCCAAAGAGTATGTAAGTAGAAAACAGAGTACACGGAAAGCTTACATAGTTTTTCAGACTTGTCTCCATGTTGACAAGAGGGGCCTCCAGGGAGCCAAATAAAAACTCTCTGCTATCTTTGTCAGTGTCAAGGCCGTCACTGCCAAGTATACTCAAATAGAGTGTTGCTCTATCACGAACCTGAAGATAAAAAGAGATCGAAACTCAAATATGCATAGATTTACTACTGCAACCAATGACTAGAAGGCAACTTGTTGATACTTGATAGGACTAGGAACTAACCTCGTCATCACTGTCATAGATGCAGCGCTTCAGCAAGACAGTAATCCGGGGCTGCAAGACATTTATTGATATTCAATATCTTTGTCATCAATAGAGGATGATAAACAAATAAAAATAAAACTTAAAGATGCTTAATAAGATATCTATACCTTTAAAGCTTCAACCATAAACCCAAACTTTGCAAGAGTGCAAACAGCAGCAGCTCGAACAGTTGCATTCTCCAAATGCACACGGTTGTATATATACCGGATATACTTACTAGGATCTGAGGTGTTCGGCCCTTCAATTCCCAGGAAATGAAGGATCTATGCAAACAAAACTAATATTTAGAGAACAAAGAAAACATAGCAACCACAAATACAATCCCATGTAAAAGATGGCGAAAAGCAGTTACCTGTGTTGAAAGGTATGTGAATTCACAATCTTCAATGAACTCGCAAAGATGGAGCAATCCATTTTCCTTTGCATCTGGAATATCTCTGATAATGGTTACAATAGAATCTACAATTGCCCTTTTATACTCGAATCCACCTTCTTCCCTAAGAATGTTGCTTAAGAAGTTCATCCTACAAATGAAAAGGATGAGGCAGATTTAATCATATCCCACAGTAATGCAAATAAGAATCTTGACATCTTGAAGTCGTCAGAAAGAATAGCAATTCAACGGAGCAAAACTACTACAGCCTACAACTTCACTTACAATGATCTATACTTCAGTGGAAATTTCAAACACAATGATCTTATGGCTTCCACGACCACAATTTTGAACTCATCGGCGATATCAGACATGAAATTAGTTATCTGCTTCATCAATCGTTCCACACTAGATTCATTCCCTGTTTTCAGGAGTGTGGTGATAGCAAGTGTAGCAATACTTCTATTCTGATCAGAAATTAAACTCTCCATATCAATGTTGCAGTTGGTGACAGCCATGGGATGAGTCATTGCAACCTGTATTTCAGACCTCCATTCAGTATACAGTGTAAAAAGAGAAAGTTTTCAATGTCTGTCACTTGTGCAGTATCTCGTTATACTCAATAAAAGAAGATGATGAAGTTATTTAGGAAAACTCAGGAACAGACTTTCAGTGTTGGTCAGGAAATAAAGTGAATACTTTTTTAAGAGATGTTTCCAAGAGAATAAAGAAAAGTATTGCAGACCTTGTTCAGAGTCCGGACAGCTGCAAATCTCAGCACTGGTTTAGGGGAACTCAAGAAGAGCTGGAGCACAGTAATTGCTGGAGTCAATTCTCGGCTTGTCACACCATCAAGTTCAGTAATAGCCCTGGCAGCCTCCAGGATCACCATTTCTGCCTTATGGCGAAGACAACTCTCCAGAAAATCATAGAATGGACGTTCCCCAGACTGGCCTTGGTTGCCCATGTCCCGGATTATCTGAATAGTAAAAACTAGAGTTGGATCAAAATAAAGACTTTCACCCACATATCATATTATCATCAAATATAGAGGACCAACCTGACTGGTGTATCGTATCAAGAGACATTGCGCCAATGGAGAGCGGACAGCTCCCCTGGTCAAGGTACCAACCAACTTGCTGACAGCCAAGCGGTCATTTTGGCGTATCTGGATATATAATTGTAAGCATTCATTAGATCACATCTCATTACCATCTAGTAAAGAAGGGCAGGGCAGACATCTAGTTTGAAAAACATCTACATCGATGTAACAGCAGAGTTACATGATATGTAGTCACTTGAACCTAATACAGACTGAACCATACAGGTAGATAAAGCAGCTCAGGATTTCGATTCTACATCTGTGGCATGGCCCATTAAAGAATAGCAAAAAAATGAAGCATATGTCCACATAAACAAGTGAAAGGTTTGCAGCAATGATCATACTATATAAAAGTATATAAACTACAAAGCAACTACAGAAGGTTATTTATGTTTCTAATGAATACATGTAGTATGCTCCAAAACCTTTCGCATAAGAGATGCTACTTGTCAATGAACGTTTAACTCTCATGAACAGAAACGAGGAAACAATTTACATTCTGGTAATACAAGATCGAGCAGTGTACCTGATGAAGCAAAGCCAAGGCATGAAACTGAACAAGGGCTGCTCTGGACTGGACAGCTTCTTGAACCTCATTGCTCCATCTTTTTACAATTTCTGGGTTTGTCTGGAAACAAAAATGCAACTGTATCAGTCTAAAGCTCACGTCACTAAGAAAGCGCATAATATAATTTGGTGTATTAAGGATACCTTTAGCATGTGAAGTCCACTGACTAATGCTGCACTTGAAATTACAGGGTTCTTATCAACAATAGCTTGTTTCAAGTACCGCTCAATTTGTGTGAGAAGGGTTCCATCTATGATTCGGCATAGAACACGGATAGCATTTGCACGATACATATCAATCTTGCTGTTCATGTCCTTCATCAGGGAGCTTGTTACAATAATAACCTATTCAGAAAGACAAAGAACTTATCAGAAACTATACCTACAGAAAACCGAGGATTCCGCTTCTAAGCCAAATAGAGACCACAAACCTCGTCCGATGATGGAGATAACTCCTTAATAATCAAGTAGACCATTCTCCTCAAACCAGTGTCTTTTGATTGGAAAAGCTTTGTAACGGAAAAGAAAACTTCTGTTGCTTCAACCTGCACATGAAGCAAGGAGGAAATGACACGGAAGATGATAACTTCAGTAACTACACTAATTTCCGAGGAATAAATGGCTTTCAAATGAACAAAACTGGAATCCATGAAACCATAATAAAAAACTGACCTTGGTGAATGACTCTCCTTGGTTAAGCAGATAAAGAAGTTTCGTGATGACCTACCAAATTTCATTCGCAAACATTTGGTAAGATGCCAGAGAAAGAACAAAAAAAGACGCAATACAAAATCTTTAGAGATCTACCTGCGAGCACCTTCTAGGATCAAGGTGAGGGTCATTGAAGACTCTAGCTTCCTGAAGCACAGCTCCCTTCTCAATTCCCAGGAACGGAGAATCCTCCACTGAGCCACAAACATTAGCAATCGAAATAAGCTACCATATAGAACGAATAACGTATGAAATGATCACAACATCACATTCTCCATCACGAATCTAAGTCACAAAACGCACTAGTCAATTCGTGAAAGCTGTGTAATTTCCAGAAACCTAACAATCCATCAGAACTGAAGATTGTATGTAGATATTCGATTCAATTACACTAAAGGACAATGCATAAACCGCACAGATCTAGGAAGCTAGCAACTGATCTGAGATTTTCAAAAACCAGATGTGGTGGAAACAAATTGAAAAGGGATAATGAAAGACATACGCTCATCGTCATGATCGTCGTCTTTCTTCACGAGTGGTTGCGCCATAGCTGATCTACTGAGATCTCGATTCAAGAGGTTAGCTCAGATCTCCTTCGTTTCGATTTCCAAATGCGCGAAGAGGAAGAGAATATTGAGACTCAGAGTTGGGATCGAGAGTTGGAGAAACTTTGGAAATTTTAGACGATGAGAGAGAGCTGTGATCTGCTGCATCCGCACCATGTTTTGTGCTGGGTGCAAAATACACGATCTTCCGCCACGTCATATCTCTGGTATGTTTGACGGTGTTGGTAAGTGTTAAATGATCTTTTGGATTTTCGGTATATAATTAAGGAAAATGAATGCAAAAAGTAATTTTGTTTTACGATTTAAAAACTTATACCTCAAAATAAGAAAAAAAATAGACTATTGTGGTATATGCTTTCTTTGATGAAACAAAGATATGCTTAGAACTATGTATATAGTTTTGGATAGAAATTAAAAAAACACAATATTATGCTTCGGTGTGACTTGTAAGACGTACGGTTCGTTGCTTTTTTATTACTCCATTATTTTTGTAACAGTACGGTTTGTTGATAATAAGAGAATTACACGAAGTATAACTTAAAATATTACAGCCGTACACTAATTCTCCCTCGAGAAACTGAAGTGTATATATGTTACTGATATACATTCTACATATATTAGTATATATCCTCTTTTTCTGTTGTTAAAAGGCTTATTTTATCTTTGAAAAAGTAATAAATATTTATTTACATTAATATTTCGTTTTTTTTCAATGTTGATAATGCCAAAACTAACCTACGCTGACTTTTATGCATGTTGATTAAAAAAATAAAAAACTGTCCTATATATACAAGTTGTGTTGCATTGTTAATCAACAAAGTCATTTTTATCATGTTTTCTTTCTTCTCCATAAAACACTAACAACATCAAGATAGATTTCTCTCTATCTATACCATGAATCTAAACAAAGATCCCAATAATGGTATCAGCCTTGATCTCTCCTTGGGAATCAATGATCCTCAAGAACAAGATCCGGATGAACAAGACGAGGAACCAGATCCCATGGAAGGACAAAGCAAGCTCATGCAACTTTTGAGCTCATCAAACGTTCAACCTTCTCTTCCTCCTCCTCAATACTACAACAACATCTCCGGGACGGCTTTTCCTCCGTCTCCACCGCTTGCAGTGCCTCTTCCGCCAATTCCATCGCCTTTTGGATATCCACCGTCAGGACAACTTCTTCAGCCTCCTCAAGCGATCCAAGGTGGACCTGTGGCCGTGGAGACTCCTCGACAAGGAACAAGGTTAGGTCGGCCACCAGCTGGTCATCAAGCACGTCGTAACTCATCGAGAGCCGTGGTTGGGGTGGAAAGAAACGCCGGTGAAAAGGAGATCGTACCACCGTATCCATGGGCCACGAC